AATCTTTGATAGATCAGGTCCTGACAGCTGACAGCTGTATTCAGACAACATTTAACATCTGACAACCATTTTCAGACAAAAGCTAATTTCATTTGATTTTTATATTTTCTTTAGAAAATGTTCTTGTGCAGCTGATCGTATTTAAACAACACTTAACATCTAATAACTTTGATTTCTTTTGTTAATAAAAAGGTTTTCGTAGAGTTAAGTCAAATCCATAAATCTCAAGATTTGTGCTATGCACAAACTGCACAACCTCTTAATTATTTATTTTATATTGAATATATTATTTCTATTTTATGTTATTTATTCTAGATTTTGCTTCTATTCTTATATATTTCTTATTACATATTTGAATTTCCTCTATGGGGGATCAATAAAGGTTCATCTTATCTGATCTCTCTTAGAAAAACTTATTGAAAACAAGCTATGAAAAAAGCCTATAGTTTTACTCAGTAATAGAACCTGGGGCTCAAACTGAAACTGGTCCAGCAACTTCTAAAACCATCTCTCAGACCCCATCCTCTGGACTAGACTCTAATTAATGATATACAGGAGACATTATATCTATTGAACAGCTACACTTCCAACAGTTTTGCTGTAGTTTCCTAAAGCTGCCAATAGATGTCACTGCAACCTCAGTATGTAAATGAAGATGCTCTACATCCAGATGAAGAGTGTTCCTAACTTAAAGCTCTTGTTTCAGGTAGATGATCAAGAAACAAGGAACAAGAGGGGACTTTTAAAGTGAAAGTGAAGTGAAATGGTGAAAGGGTCATACTGGGACAGGAATCACCAGTATCCACACCAATGCTGTTTATTATTAAATCAGCTCATGTTTTATTATCAATAAGGTCTTGAACACATTTAATCACCACTGAGTGGACTGTCAAACATTAGCTATTTATTCTACTATCAGTTATTTAATCACACATCAGTGTTTTTTGGTTTCAGGAGTAAATCTGTGTTAATTAACAGTAACAAGAGTCTTCATAAGTCCAGGATGTGATCTGATCCATTTTTTCTTGTATTGATCCGATCAACTCCAGGATCTATTCACAAACCAAGACTCAGTATCTGTGGTATCTATACTTCAGATATTTATCACTCTAACATGTACAGAGAAGAAGAAGAAGAGGAGCGGCTTCTGAGTAACAAATGAAACTCTAAGTTCTGATCATTATGCCACAGCTTGTGTGGTAATGATTTAAATACCAATACTAGAAAGTCTCATAACAACAGTCTGCTCTCAAACCAAGGTACAGGATTAACAGGGAAGGCTGCAGCCACCAGTTTTACCAGATACACCGCATTTTGATTAACTGGGATAAAACAAGTAAGAAGGTTTAAGAGTCTGCTCATTAAAACACATCCAGACCACTGTCATAAACTGGACTGAAAAAAGATGAAACAAGAAGTGAGAGAGTCTGAAAGTGTAAAGAAACCCTCGTGTTTAAAATGGCTCTGAGAACTGAAGTCGTAGCTGACTCCAGGTGCAGCATCATGTGGAGTAATAAAAGATGAAGAACCTTATGATTGGTTTGAAGAGGATCAGCAGAGTCTTGATGAACATGGTGGGGTGGACGATGTACAGAGCCTTGATGTTCTTCTTATACCTGAAACACACACACACACACACAGACTCACTCCTCTACATCATCACTGCTACATCTCAGAATGTTTACATCTAAAACCATGTTGTATTGATGATGTTTGTTTGATTGACATGTTTCTCACATTAATAACTCATCAGCATAAAGACTGTATGTTATGATGTCAGCTGACACACAGAGGGGTCACTGTGGTTCAACCCTTCTATCAGTCAGTCAGTCCCATTTAAACCAGCGTTCTTACCCAGTGCTAACCTTCACTAAAGCCAGGCTTTCTAACATTCATAATCAGGGTTCCTGCACCATTTAAAAAAAATCAAAATCAATGCTTTTTACGACCTCAATAAATCAAAATTAGGATCGAACAATGTGGAAATTATTTCTTTTACTTATTTAGTTTTTGTCCTCCGGTAAACAATGTTTTAACATGGAGGCAGATTTGAAAATTAAAATCTAAAGACCTGCAACAGCAGAACTAAAGAACCACACCATTTTGCATGTTGGTAGAAATAACTATTATTTCTATACTACTGCTAAGAATTTTCTAAATCCTACTACAGAATTTCATATAAATTTTTAGATAATCAGAGGGAATATAACATGTTTCTAATTCTTTTTTTTATTTGTGTCTGTTAACAAAGCGACAAGTGACATGAAACTGCAGCACCATAATTATTATTGGCTTAGTTTTTTTCTACCAGTCTTAAACACACTCTGCAAATTAATATCATCACTACTCATCAGCTCCATCTATTTTTTTCCTCTTGTTTTGAGACGTCTGTCACCAAAATACCAAATCTAATTGTGTGTTGCCTCATTTGCATGACCCCCCCCCCCCCACACTGTGTTCTCTGCACTGAGCCCATAAATACCACAGACTCACAAAACCTCTGCCAGAGCACTGCTTGTACATCCATCAGAATAAGATCAACGAAGTTTATTTCAGAGTGCAGTCTACAGCTTCAGTCAGATATGATTATCAGTTATTAGTTATCAGTTATCAGTGTCATGTTGGTGAACTTACTTCCTGTCAAACTCTCTATAGGCATCTCTCAGCCAGCTGAGAGACGGTTTGTTCTCACTGGTCAGTCCATGATGGAAATAGATCAGGGTGTAGTCACTCTCCACGTACTGGTCCAGAGTTCCCTTCAGATACCTGCAAAAAACCAAAGACCACATCTACTGTCAGTCAGTCTGTCCTCTGGTCTCCAGGTCCTGGTCTAGGTTTCTGTCTCTGCTCAGACTTTTCATAAACTCAGAGTCAAAGTCAGAGGTGACACAGATTGGAGACACATGGAGGAGGCTGGACCACAGATGTTTCAGTAAACTCGTCAAACATCTGGATTTGGTTCTCCTGCATCACTGGAGCTTATGGCTCTAGACTGGTTGGACTCTTTGAATCCAGCAGACTGTCTGTACACCTGAAACTGTTACCACCACCATAGCTGGACACACAAAAGCAGAAACACTGACACAGCAGAGATAAGAGACTGTACAGTGAATAGTGTTACAGCAGAGTTTAGTGCCTCAGTGTTTATCTCACACAAAAGTTTTACTGCCTCACAGTTTCTCTGTATTCATCCATTTTGTCTTTGCTTGATCTGAGTCCCGGTTAGACCAGACTGAACTGTTTCAGTAGTTGTTGGTGACGCCTCTTCTTCAGTGGTCTCACTGAATTAGTGCACGTTCAGGCAGTTGGTTTTTATCATGTTAAACAAAAAACATAAAAATATAAAATATAAAAACAAAAGACATAGAAGCAAGAACACATAAAAATTAAAAAACAATAATAAAAAGCAAAACACAAAAATATTTTTAAAAACATAAAACACCATCAAAAATATATAAAAACAAAAAACATAATCAAAAACATAAAAACAAAAAATTTAAAAACAGTTGTTTTTCTGTTTTTGTTAGTCAGAAAAAATGAAAAACAAAAATATCAAATTTGTGTTTATATGTAAATTCATTTTTTTGTGCTTGTAACCTCTACTTCTGTGTCACCTGACTACCTTTCTTCATTCTTAAATTCAACAAGGAAAAATGAAAAAAAGGGAATTTGCAAACACCAGAATCAAACAGTTTCCTGCTGTCCTTGTTTTTTTATTCTGACAACAACAAACTTTTGGTTTTTGGTTTCAAACAAAAAAAACTTACTGAACGTGCACAAACTGTGAGGCAGAGCAGAGTCCCAGACCGTCAGGGAGGGTCCCAGATCAAGACTGAAGGTGACCAGGACTCCTGAGCTCTGGATCTCAGTGCCTGTTGATCTGAGGCTCAGAGCTTTTTACTATAGTCATCCTTTGTTTTACTTTAGTTTCTGATATATTTTACCTTTTCTATTAAGATTCTTCACCTTGTGTATTTGATTAACTTTAGTATCAGTTTGATGAGGTCTCATCAGGACTTACATCAGCAGCTTGTGATGGTCTAGCTGGTGCTGGGGGGGCATCCTGCAGGCATTAAACACTATCACCTTCCTGCCAAAGTTATCATCACCTGCAGACACACACACACACACACACACATTAAAACACAATCTCACTGAATAGAATTTGTTTCTTCTAGACCAGACTGGTCTGAGGACTGACCTGCCACTTCAATGATCTGATGCCTGGCGATGTCATAGAAGGGGTGGTCCCAGGGCAGGTGAGGGGAGCCCCCGTCGAAGCGCTGGGAGATGTCTGTCTCTGAAACACACACACACACACACATACACACACACACACACACGTAAGTATGATGACACTGACATGTTTGTTGTTGAGGGTCAGAGCTCCACAACATTAAGTCTGAAATAAAATAATGGAGACTGCATTAAGTGTCAGCTTTAATATGAGCAGGTTCACATCAGTATAGAACTAACTGTGTAGGAGAATATTTAGTAGAAAATCCTCTTCAGTCAGTGTCCTTCTCTGTCTTTAGTCTGGTCGTATGTTCAGGATAATTGAAATGTAGAGTGTTGATGCAGGAGCCACAGACTGATCCTGTAGATCTCTGTGTTCATGTGACATCAACAGTAAATACCAGGGGCAAGTTGCACAAAAAATCTTAAGTTGCGATTCTCCTTTAAGTCCTCTCTTAAAGGTTTTCTTAAAATGTTAACTTAAGTTATTTAAGGTTTTCTCCTTGTCTTGTCTGAAAAAAACTAAAGGTACCTCTGACACTGTCTTAACATGAGTGTGTTCCTAATGGCAGCAAATCAACAGTCTTCATGGAAGCAGTAGAATTTCACTGCTGTAAATGCCTTAACTTTTTTCCTTAACTAAGGAAACATTTTAAGAGATTCTGTGCGACACCCTTGAGTAACTTCCTCAGTAGAAACTTAAGGTGTTTTGTGCCACCGGCCCCTGATCACGAAGACGTCTCTGCACTTTAATGTTGACTTCATTATTTCATTTCTAATTAAATGTGCTGAATCTTACTGCAGCAGCCTGGATTGAACATCAAACAGAAACAACACAATATAACTTTGTGTTTCCTGGCAACAGCATGAGGAAGATTAAATTCTTCTTCCCCTCATTGTGTTTGATTAATGATGAGGTGCGATGTTGGTCCAGGTGATGGACCCTGAGGAGAGAACTAAACATTCAGCTGCTTCTCTAAAACTGATCTAAATGTTATAAAAGATCATAGAAGAGGAAAAACAGACAAACACATGAACCCAGGCCTGAGACCAGGAACTCAGAGCTCATAGATGTCTGTGTGTGATCCAGATCCTCTTACCTGACTTGCTGAGCGTGGCCTCATCAGCGGGCCACTGCTGGTCCTCTATCGTGGCGAGCTTCAGCTGTCCTAACTGAGCGGTCGCAGGGTCCTCACCCAGATCCACCAGCAGCTCTGACGACATCACAGACACTGCAGGATGGCGCTACACGCACCCACACACACGCACACACACTGGACAGTCTCAGATACACAGAGACACACGAAGCTGCCACCTCCACGCAGCAGGAGACACAGACCTGCAGGAGACAGAGACCAGACGTCAGCTGGGTTTGAGGAACCATTTCAAAATAAATCTACTCATGGAGAGGGTTTTCTCTGTTTTCAGTAAAATAAAGATCTCTGGATTCTGGACTGTCAGTGGGACAAAACAAGAATTTAACACCATCATTTTAAAATCAAATCAACTCATAATTAAAATAATAATTAGTTGCAGCCTGAATTTAAAAGCCTCAATATATAATAATAATAATACATAATACATATATATTTTAGTGTTGTATATTTTCATATTATTTGTCTTAATTCCAATTCTGATTCTGATTCTGATTCGAATTCTAATCTTCATCAGCTTCTGTGTGTGAAAACCTGTGTTATGTTCAGGTCCCTGTTCAACCTGCTGAATACAACATATTATTAGTAACCCTAAAGTTAAAGCTGGATAATGACACACGTTACTCTCTCTTATATTACAGATTTAAATAAATGATCTGAACACCATTAACTAAACTGAGAACTGATCACACATTGATTATATGAAAGCAAAGGAGGAAAATCAGAACTTAGGAAACATGAGGAAAGAAATAGGTCCTTATCGATTAAAAGCCATAGTTTGTTTCTCATTATTATTATCATTATCATTATTATTATTATTATTATCATTAAGGTAAATGTGATGATGCAAGTCAATCTAGAGAAATCACAAATGACTATGATTGAAATCTTTGAACCGTTTTGATCAGTTCATGGATTTTTCTGAGCTCAGCTGTTGAACCACTGTTCAAATGCACTGCAGTGTTTACATTAGTCAGTAAGCACACCAATAGTCAAATGGACTGAAGTAAGTGAACACATCACTGTTCACACAGCCTAAGCTGTTACAATCAGTTTTATTATAAATGAGGTTAATCGGCTCAGCTGTCTACTGTTTGTTATCACAGTATGATTGTTTACAGAGTGGTATCTTGAGGTGCTGATGTGAAGAAGTGATCACCGCTGACACGTCTTTACTTGTAATCAAAAAGAAGTTTATTTACAAGAAAGAAACAGTGTCAAAAATGCCGAATCCTGGAGCATCTCTGCCAATGTGAGATCTCTCTTCTAACGTTTCACAAATCCCTCTATTTATCTGTCTTATCTCACCTTTGGAATGTGCACTTCTTCCAATAAGAAGAAGCCTCCACCCAAAGGTAAATAAGATCTGGTCTACAGCCTCTGGTCTCTAGCCTTTGGCTTTTTTAGGCCCACATAAAACCCCCACTCTCTTATACCATATTTACCAAAAAACCTCCTAAGGCACATTCCTTAAATTCAACTTACAATGAGTGGTTCAAGGTAACCTTCGACAAGGCCTTAGTTGACAACCTCCTTGAACTTTAGAATAAAACATACATAAAAGAAGAACATACAACAATTTAGTATGTTGAAATAGAAGGAAATGAAGTGGATAATACACTACAACAGTCTTTTATTAGGCTTTTAATGTGAAAGTAACTTCCTGTGTGTCATGTCTGAGCTGCTTTCAGCTCCACTGCTGAACCTGATCCAGTGTGGTCAGTTCACTTTGAACACCTGCTATCCATGTGTGTTATGTAATAGTGTTGAGTGATAAGAACAGGACTACAACAGCAGAACAAACAGACTGTGAGAGAACTACACCTCCCTCCTCCCCTCAGTCCCCAGGTGAGCTCCTCCCACAGTTATCAGTTATCAGCTGCTGAATGTGTTACACAAACACAAAGCTTGTTCAGTTTGTCAGTCAGATAAACCTGTGTGACAGTGACGGCTACAGCCTCTGTGTCGACTGAAGATGATGTCAGCAGGACGCTGGGCAGGGCCACTGATATCAGAGTATATAATATGAACACAAGTGAATTTGACGCTAACTGTCTCTTGGTTCAACCTAATCTTATAGTATCAAAACAAGCACATATATTTATGATACTGACTGATATGAGCAACAGTGAGTGACACACACACACACACACACACAAAATGCTACAATAAAACAAGTATTAATACACACACAGTGGGAAAAAAACTGTTATTACTGTTTGTTTTACTGTATGGATGCTGATGCTAACACTACTAAAGCTACTTCCTTCCTTTTTGCAAAATATTGTTGATTTTGTTGTTGACTGACTGTAGATGTGCAAAGTAACAACATCAGCGAGACACAGTTAGAGGAAGTATCTGAAAACACCACTAAAATTAATTTCCTGTACCAACACAACATCTTACAAGTCTGGAAGAGGAATTCTAGCCTTTTTTCTCAGAATTCTGAGTTTAATGTCAGAATTCTGACTTTCTGAAATATAAATATTTATTTATTTTTTTAAATTCTGACTTTAAAGTCAGACTTTGAAGTCAGAAGTAGTATTAGCATTAGCATTCTGACTTTAATCTCCAAATTCTGACTTCAAACTCAGAATTCTGCGATTAAAGTCAGAATTAAAAAAAATAAAATAAAAATTTCACATGTGGCCCTAATCCTCCTTTGTATAAAATGAGCTGCTGTGTGTGTGTTTAATCTGCATTCATGGTGTTCTTGATGATAAACAGCCACTCTGCAGTAGCTGTGTTCACTTGTCACATGACTGTAGTTCATATTCACATACAGCCTCATGTAATGACTGCATCTCTCTTCCTCCTCTCACACATTAACTCTCTCCCTGTCTTCTACACTCACACTTCCTCTTTTGCTTTTGTCCCAACCCCCACTTATTTACCCTGCTTTTTTCTCTCTCACACACGCGCACGCACACACACACACACACACACACACACACACACACACACACACACACACACACACACACACACACACACACACACACACACCCACACACCCACACCCCCTGTTCCCTCTCTGCTCTGTGATGTTATACTAGCTGACAGCATGTTGCTTTAAATAAATATTGCTACTAACCAACAGGCACAGTCGGCCTATTGCTGCTGACCAACACACACATGCACACTCACACACACGCACATGCACAGACACACACACACACACACACACACTCAGATAGTGAAATGGCTCAGTCAGCCTGTTAGTCAGTCATGTTGAGGGTTTTAGATGATGTGGACAATAACTGGTTCCTCCTTTTTCCTCTGTGTTCCTGAACACAGCCTTGTGGTTCTCATACAGCAGGTCAGTCAGTGAAGGTCACAACATGAGGTCATGGACTGCCCATTGTACTGTGACCTCATCTGTAAACAGGAAGTAGCTTCACAGGTAATATTCACAGCTGAAACATGGTGCAGACATTTACATCATGGTTTGGATCAGTGACTGCAGCTTCTGAGGTTTCATCATGTGACCTGACTGTGGTCACATGATCACATGTGGTCACAAGACCAGCTGTCAACACCACACCAAAACCAGGTCAAAAGGTCATTGACCAGGAATCAGCTGATGACCACATCTGAACAAAGACCATCTCTGAACAGAGACCATCCCTGAACAGAGACCATGTCTGAGCAGAGACCACATCATGTGAAAACAACAAAAACATGATCAGCTGATCTTCATAGACCTCTGCTCAGTGACTGAACCTCAACAGGAGAAAAACTACATCTCTTCTTCATCCTTTAGGATAGAAAATTATGCACTTTTAAATTTAACCAGCTTGATGTGGATGTATCTTAGTTCATGTGATGACACCTGAGCCATCTCCATGACAACTGAAACTTTACCTGCTGATGATGCAGCTGAAACCTCATTTCACAATCACAAAGGTGATGAGTGGACCTGGGGCTGAGATCATTTCTGCCACACTTCAGTTTCTAGTGCAAACTCATCAGGGGTGAAAATGGTGACAGAGATGCCTAATCCTAAAGCAAAGTGACAGTATTAGCCTCGCTAATATTATCTTAGCATAAAGGAAATGTAATCATCAGGGGCTAATGCTAGCATTAAGTTAGCACTTCAGCAGGGGAGCTGAACTCATCTTGTAACTGTCAGTAAAATGGTAACGTCAGACTCCATGGACACCTGACGTTACATCCAAACTGTGATGCTATGTTCACTGAATCAGAACAACTCCACCTTAACTGGCTAATTAACAGTCCTGAGCTTCACATATCATCATGGTAGCCAATTAAGATTAGCATAATGCTACTGTTTTCTACCTTAAGGTGTGTGGGCAGTCACAAACTGACCCCGCAGAGCTTCCCCCTTCTCAGAGTTTGGACCTTGCCAAGGTCAGGAATAAACCTCCTACATGCTCAAACAGAAAATTAACTGATAATAATTTATCATCGATTTATTAAATAAAAAAAACAATATTGACAGATTCCTCTGCTTCTTCCTGTTACAACACTTATAAAGGTTTGACATTTATAACTGATCAATGACTTAAAATGATCAATTCATGATCAAAATTATTATTGATTTGTTTGACAAAAACAATTTTGACTCAACGTCTTTTTGTGAGTCTCTTCCAGAGCTTTCACACAGTATTACATGGTCTTTATCACCAGATGGAGTTCGCCCACATTTGAAAAGATCATTTCCATGACATCGGAGCAGACGCCATGTGATGATGAAGACTGTGTGATGTGGCTGAAAGCTCCAGAAAAAGATCATAAATGGGGCAGTTTCCAAGAAATAACTTTGAGGATTCGTTCTTTGTTGATTAATTAATCAATCAATAGATTAAAAGATATGTGGGTCCAGAGTGGGTCAGACAGGAAGATGGAGCCTGTTATAATGCTCCATGTTCAGTCAGTTAGTTGCTCAGCCAGTCAGTCAGGATGCCAGTAACAGTAAAACATCTGTTAGCATGTCAGCTACAATCTGCACTGTAACATTCACATCCCAGCAGATAGGCAAACAGAGTGTTTGCTTGAGTATGGTGCTTCACCTAGCCCCGCCTACCCACCACACCTGTCTGCAGGTGTCAGTGTTTGAAGATCAGACACACAGCCACAGTGTGTGAACATAGTGTGTGTGTCAGTGTGCAGAAGGCAGCAGCAGCACCCTGCCCCCTCCATTCCTCCTCTATCACAGCTCTGCAGAGCAGCTTAGTCAAACTGTCCTCCAGGGGGTTGGAGATTGTTTCCCAGGAAAAACTACACTGCAGAAAAGAAACCCTCATAATCACTCAGTTCCTGTTACCACAGAGATGAAAACAAGCAGCAGAAACACAGTGTTATCACTGATCATTTTTCTATATGTGAAACACTGCTCTGAGCTCTCTGCTTCCCATGTCTCTATTAGTGTTACTTCAGTAGGCAGGACACACACACACACACACACACACACACACACACACACACACACACACACACACACACACACACACACAACACACACACACACACTGCAGCATCATCTTTGGGTCAAAGCTTTGACAGAAACACTCACTACTAATATGTGACAGCTTCACGACAGAGGGAGCAGGCTGCTGCCATCAAGGTTATGTCCTCTTTATTTCCTCTGATAATCAGGGGTTTAGCTAACCTGGTTCTACACAGATAGTAGGGCTGAATGATTAGTCAAATCGAAATCACAATTTCAACAAGTGCAATTTTTTTGATAAAGGTAAAATGTGTCACAGCCATTATAAATTAAGTGTTGTGGTGCTACAGAGATGCTACGACCTACAAATAATATCCTGCAGATGTAAAGTGCAAGCCCAACAAAAATCTCATCATCATCATGTTTATATTTTTTCTGTGAAAATTAAATGAAAAATGACAATTACAGCTGAATGTGACTCATATCACAATACCTGCCAAAATGATCACAAAATGATTTTTTTTTTTTTTGAATATCGTTCAGCCCACATGAATCCAGCTGAGGACCAGTTTGGTGTCTGGTCAGATTTTATTAAGAACAAAGGAACTTTATGCATTTCTAAAGTCCAGTCTGCAGCCCTGAAAATAGACTTTTAGTGATGTATCTTTGTTTTTAGTTTGTACAGACAGTTTCCCAGCTGATCCTCCACTGAAAGGTCTCAAATCTTTACATTTTTAATTTTCCAAAAGTAAAGAAATCAGGGGTTTTATTTGTATTCTTTCTTTAACAAAAGAAAACTCAATTTGAGAAGAAATATTTCAGCATTTTTTTAACAGGGCTGGTATTTGAAACTAATATTTTTAAAGTCACAGGGAAAAGCAGGGAGGGCTGACCTGAGGGTGGATTTTTAGATGTTGGATATATATGATGTTTTTAAAACCCTTTATAGTGTGAAAGGCAGTGCTGGAAGTTGCCTGGTTCAACCACAGTCTGATGTGTTGGCAGGTGAACACACGCATGTTTTGAGGGTTAAGAATTAAGCACCTTGCTCAAGGGCACCGTACAATCACAAGCCTGCCCCTCTGACCTGCGGGGTCTCTGTTTTTATGCATTTATGTAAACTGGACATGTATTTATTATGTGGTCTACAGCCTTCTGTTACACTGAGGTCTAATGTAAAAGTGTCAAATTAAATAATGATAATAATGCAGGGGTGGACATCAGTGGAAATCACATTGTGATTGTTTCAGTGTGAGCAGACATTAGAAGTGGAACCTTCTGATTAGGAAACTTGAGTATGTTTAACATTCAAATGTCAATAAAGTACTGACTCGTTAAATTGACAAATATTTAAATGGAGTTTGGCAGAGCGCTGTCCCCGCTCTGGAGGTACTGAAGCTAACAGCTACAGACATGTCCGCTGTTTTAAGCAACAGGTGAGCTCAGGTAACTTTAACACAGCTACAGAACACAGTCAAGTTATTTTAGCTTCAAGGAAACCTTAACAAGCTAACCCCCTTAAGCTAACATAAAGGCTAAAATACATTAGCTAACCCGCTCCTGTGGCAATATATGCTAATGTTAATGAACGTTAGCTCTGTTGTATAGATTCATACAGAGACGTACTGAAGTCCCGCTTCATTAAACCACATCGCCGCAGTATTTAAATCAATGTTAGCACAACAAATTATCCCCATGACACATAACTGAGAGCAACACAACCACACACACACGCACACACAAAGCTCCCCGTTGTTGATCAGCCTCTGTCTAGATCTATGAGCTTCTTATATCAGAACGAGAGTTAACGCACAGAAACGTTTATTTACCGTCAATGTACCGTTGCTCTGCGGGGACACAGTGGGCTTTGTGGCGTCTTCAGTCTCCGTGTGATTCGATCACTGCTACTGACAACAACCAACTGCGTCAACTCCTTTTCCGCTTCGTTATTTTCAAAATAAACGTATGCATTTCTGTTAATGTCGTATTGTATATTTCAAAATAAGAGCACTCATGAGGTTTGTGTGCCCTCTCGTTGTCATAGCGGGACATTACAGCCGCAGAACGAACTAAAATACCACCAAGTGACTCCAGAAATAAAATATTTTCCAACTAATTCCAACTATTTCTGTTTAATAAATTAATTTTACTCTGTGTATGATAATGTGCTTTTAATTTGGCTTGCCACAAAAAAGGTGTTTTATTTTTTACCTCTCTGGTACCTAGCCTATGTTTTCCTATTTTTTTTTTTATTTTATTTAGGCCTATCTTTATTTTATTTTATTTTCTCTTTCATTATCTTTGATATTTTACCCCTGCATTTTCCCTTGTAGACTGTTTTTTGTTTATTTTTCCTATTGTCTCGTTTTAAGGCCGTACACCTGTACATTTTAGCTAATTATATGGTATTGTTAATTAAGATATATTGTCTGCAGTCCAGCCTTTCATTTAGATGGATGTTAGTGCATTTTCTTCTGATTATTCTGTTGATAATAAGTCAGCCCACATGTCAATCTCTTACCAGCACGAACACTATAATCTAACACAGGCCTAAAGTCAGGCTTTATAGTAGCCAATGATTTTCGAGAGGTACTGTTTTTGCACTAATAACCTACACATATAAATACCAGAGAAATTAAATTAAGCATTTATTTTTATTGTTGACAAAACAGAAAGTGACATAGATGACATTGTGACCATAAAACATAATAGACTGTATGTATATAAAATGTTGAATAACTGTTATGAATGACTGTTTCTCTTTGTCTGTGACTATATTGAAATTCTCTGTGAGTGCAGTTACTTTGAAGAACGCAATGTGTAACTTACATGTAATGTAAACCTCACAGTACAACAGTGCAACTCTTCAGACTTGTCTTTCTTTGTTTCTATGGGTATTTCATATATATTATAAACTTATATCCAGAGGATGTATATATGTGATAATAAATCCTCTTATAGGTGACGTCACTATTGATATAGGGACATACAGTGTATATCATATATTATATTTCTGTATGAGGAGAGTCCTCCTCCATCTATTTACTTTGTAATTAAAACCAAGTAAAGTTTAATAGTTGACAGAATAAACCTTAGAATCATACTAATAAACATATTAAACTGAAAATACAGCCTCACTACACAACCTGATGTTCTTCAGATCCGGTGAGAAGCAGGCGTTTCCCATCACGCAATGAGGAACTGTAATGGGGAAAAACTATACTGACGGAACAGCCTGAGGGACAATTTTGCGTGCGGAAGTGCGACTGTAAAAAGGCAGTAGCAGAAACCTGGTCTTTGCCAGTTTCTGATCAAGTCCACCACGGTTCTAGTATGCACACGAACCCGGAGCTCATGCGTTCGTCAGGAAACCGAGGAGAACGACACAGAGGGACGTTTTAGAGACGGTGACTGCTCCTGATCCAGGATCACCCAGGGACAGCGGCATGTCAGGGGAGGGAGCCGGGGGCAGAGCGGCTGCACGGAGTGGCCCCAGACTGTGGTCTGTGGTCGGACTGTCCGTGTTTGGCTCCGCGGTGTCTGTGGCCGCGGTGGGCTGTTTCTGCGCGCTCATCTACCCCATACTTAAAGGTAAGGGCGCGCGTGCACACCAGGGTCATATAGGTGTGTGTCTCGCGCACACAGAGCTATAGTGAACTGTGAAGTGACTGGTTTAAAGTTTTAGCTAAAAGTTCACTTCCGGGTAGATCTGAGGAATCTGCAGGTAATAGATCACATTTATAATAAACCAGGAAGAAGAGTCATGACATCAGACTAGATAATCTCAACTCAAGGTCCACTTACTGAATCAGACCCTGTGGGTGATGAAGACCATGAGTTGAGGCTGACAGGTCCAGAACAGGCAGGTAAGTGGAGCTTGAGTAAAGATCAATCAGTCAGACTGTAAAAGCTGTACACTAACTGAGCTTTTGTAGTGAGGTCGGAAGCTCTGACAGATGTTGATCAGATGTTTGATGTTGACTGACTGTTTCAGAGCTGCGGGCGGTCAGGCTGATAGGAGAGGACGGGTCTGAGGAGAAGATCCTGGGTGAGTTTTGACTTCCTGTGTAGCTACATGTATGAAGTTACCATGTTATTAAAGGTAATTAAAGCTCCATATAGCTCCATATAGTATAAATGTAGATGTCCATGTGTTATGTGATTATAAAGCAGGTCTAAGTTCTATATTAATACTGTGAA